TCCATCAGCCGTTTCTACCTGTGACTTTGTACAGCTTGTCTTCAGTCCGTCGTGGAGTTTCGAACGCGCCGCTGAGAAAGTGAATTTACCGTTCGGTTCCCGCGACACGTTTCCGAATTACGCGCGACGTTTTTGTAAGTTGATCGTCTAACGAGAATCCGATAGATGGTGCGTTCGTTGGCTCGAGGGTTAGAGGGTTAAAATTGCCGCTATCGTTTCGCTCGTAAATTTCCAACGTTTCTCACCGTTCAGACGATGAGAAAAAGTTTGTCTTCGGGGCAGGCAGACGGAGAGCGCGAAAGAGACAAAGAGGGCGTATCTTCCGTGGAAGGATCGATCGTCTTACGAAATCGAAACGTGACTAATCGAGGAAGAGGAGCCGACGTTGGCGAGCGTGGTATCGTGCCAGACAAAACGTTGCATCGGTCGAACGGTTTCTGGCTGCCCGAAAACGATAATCGTTGCACGAACAATCGGTATAAAATGCAGGATTCGGGAAATTAAACCACGCGCTTACCCTTCCAGCTGATGAATCTCGTGACTAACCGGCGTAATCCGCGCTGCGCAATTAGCATATATGAATAAAGAATCTATGAATCCTTTAAGTCAGCCAGCGAGAACGTCTGTTGAATGAACGCGTTTCTAGGAACAGCAGGTTTACGACGATCGAACCAGTTTACAAAGCGTATCAAATTTTCGCCATCGTTGATTCATTCCGTTAATTCGTCGGACAATGGAACTTTATCAAACGAATCGTGCAGACATCGATCTTTCAAGCGTCATCGAATGATATTTCCGATCGAATCGGTTCGAAAGCGAGTAACTTTGGAGAAGGTGTCGAGTGATAAATCGTAAAAATTTTCAGTGTACCAGGGTACGGTTTCCTTCTTTTCTTTACACGAGTATCGCTATCGTGAGTCGACGAAAAGGAGAAAAAACGGAAGAAAAAGACAGAAAGTTGTAGCTTAGGTCAGTTTATCGTATAAATCGTGAATGACGAGTAGAATGTGCAAACGACGTTGGTTGTAAGGAGTTAACTTTCATACCCGTTAGGTGCTTTTACCGCTTCCGACGAATCGTCGACTCGGCGATGACCTTGCTTCATCGTGACTCCCGATGACTTAGGAATTACCGACGAACGCGCGTTTCCTTCGTAATTCCTTCGAAGTAACGTCCGAGTAAAAATGTTTGTCCCGCGATTCGCCAAGTGGATGTCTGTCCCACAAACGATTTACCGCGGACACAGCTTTAAAGGCTGCTCGTAGCTGTGCCCGATGATTGGAATGCTACTAATAAAAAGGAGATAAAGAGAGAGACAAAGAGAGAGAGAGAGAAAAACAGGGCGACGCGGTATCTTATATTGCCGCTGGAACTCGAGACGCGCAGGTAGCGAGCATAATTTTCTATCTACCTACGACGCCCCGTAAATTGATCGAGGTTACGTCGAGCGTATTTTGTTATAGTGGAAAAGGACTCGTATACGCCTGGAACGATTCTCAGCCGCTTATTACCGGGCTTCGTTCGTTCGTTCGTGCTCGGTCACGCAACGCGCCACTCGGTATCGTGGGATTCGCTGCTCGTCGAATGAACTCGTTTACGAACTCGAGAAGGACGGACCGTGTTGTGTCGTCGTGGCCAAGTCTCGTCTCTTCGTCGTCATCGTGTTCCACGTTTTCGATGAAAATCGATCGGTATAGTACCTAGTCGTATTCGTCGTTGGCCTCTGCCGTCGTCGTCGTGGTTGTCGTTGTCGTTTCCGTCGCCCCGTTGAAAAACGTTGAACGTTCGCGAGCTGCGGCGCGTTATACGAGACGTTACGTGCCCGTTCGACCTTTCCCCGAGCCTCTTTTGCAGCCTTCGTTCCAGGGGCAAAAAGGGTCCCTCTCTGTTCGCTTCTCTGTCTCTCACCGCGCTACGGTTTCGTCCTGACTCTTTACCCCTCTTTTCCTCCACGCGCGCCTCCCTTTCTTTCTATCTGGCGACTCGCCCTCTCTCTCTGTTCCTTTCTCCGCGCTACTCCTTCCCTCTCGCTCTGTCCCTCTATCTCTGTCTCGCTCGCTCCCTCTTTGTCGCACGCGCTAACTCGCTCTCGCACTCAACGAGAACGGGGCGAGTTCCCGAAATAATCGTGCGTATCGATCCTCACGCGGGGCGTGCAGGATGAATTTATTCTCGTGCACGGGGAGAACGAGAGACTCGTACAAGCTCGCCTCGTTACTTAATCGCTCTGCGTTAGAAACGAAGGGTATATAGCGTGGAAACTATAGCGACGTAGAAGCGATGGCGTCTCCCGCTTGTTTGTTCGCGAAATATATATATAATCGGACGGTTTGTCGGTGACACGGAGTAACGACGTTTCGTCCGGCGATTCGTCTCGGGCAAATATTTCCACGAGAGAGGGTAAATTACGTCGTCTATCGCGATAATACGCGAGTTACGTTCGAAACGAGACATTCTCGATATCGATAAAGAGAGAGACACGCGGGCGAAACGCGTTGGAACGAGACACACGCGTGGCGCGGTAACGTTCAAGTTGGCACGCTTGACACTCTATATTCGCTGCGCGTCATCCACGCGAGTATCGGAGTACGCGTATCCATCTTACCGATTCGGAGTCGCGCCGAGGTCCGCTCGAAACTTGCTTTTTTCCCCCCTCCATCGAGGACGAGAACTCGAAGGCGCGTGTAGCGTCATTATCGTCGGTCGATATTCGCGGCAGCAGCACCACCGGTCATCGGATCCCCGGCTTTAACGCGAACGCCGAGCTGTGCGACACACGGAAACGCGATGTGTGCGCTCCTCGAGCATTTCCGTGCCGCTGTGTATCGCGCTCGCGAACGTGTGCCGTATTTCTCTCCTCGCAAAACTGGATCCGTGGAACGCAACGATCGTTTTACGAAGCCCTCCTCCTGCTCCTCGTGTGTCGTATTCTGGCGCGAAGTCAAGAGTACATAATCGTAAAATTCGCTCGATCGCGAGGCTAGGAACAACATGCCAGGCTGTGCGAGTTTGTTTCGCGAGCTACATCCGAGGTATTTATCAGTCGGTAGACATTCCCGTGAATCCGCGTATTTACGCGTTCCGTCGTTAAAAAACACGACCCACATCGCGTCTTACGTCTCGTCTCTCGTTTCTTCGTTATTTTCCCCGGTCTGTGTATAGCGCGCAAAGGTAACGACTAGTCTCTCTCTCTCTCTCTCTCTCTCTCCCTCTCTTTCTCTCTCTCGTTTTTCGTTCATTTTTTGTTCTTCTTCGCGGCGACGCGGCGGAGAGAACCCTTGCGCGTTTTTTCGCGGGACATTGTTCGGCGCGCGCGTTTTGTCCGCACGTCAGCCATCACGGCGTATTGTATTCATTGTTTAGAGGCTGTTGGAGCTCTCGGGCAAGAAGACGGCGAGAGAGAAGGGCGCCTCGTAGTGGCTCCGAAGGAAAGGAAAACTCACCGTTCGCCGGCTTATAGACAACGCCGGGCTCCGCCGCTTGCTTTCTTTCTTTTTCTCTCTCGTCTTTCCCCCTCTCCCTTTCACTCGAGTCGAGGCTTGCACGAAATCGCGTGTCGCTCCCGTACCGCGTAGAAATGTCGCCTCCTCCGGATCACGACGTTTCGTGATCGCAGCTGTGCGCGCACAGCCAACTTCTTTCTTCCTGGGCTTCCTCTACGCACACCTGTACGAGACCCTCCATTGGAAAATCCACTTTTCCGCCAATCGCTGACAAAATTCTTCCATACGAAGGAACCAAGGAGAGACCGTGTAAAACTGGACGCGCCACGACGGATAGAGGTGTGTGCGCGTGTGCGCGTGTGTGACGGTCGTCCTCTCTCCCGTTGGTAAGGAGATCCAGAAGGCACACCGAATAAAGGGACGCGAGGAAAGAAATTCAACGGAGTTTACCGGCCGTAGATACGTCGCGCGTCGTGCGTATCGAACCAGGAGGGAAGAGAGAGAGAGAGAGAGAGAGGGTGAGAGAGAGAGAAAGAGAAAGAGATAGAGCGAGATCATCGTACTGGTTCGGAAGAAGCAGGCCGGAGAAGGAGAAGGAGAAGGAGAGAAGGACAGCGGAAAAGAGAGACGGAGAAAGGGAAATCGGGAATAGAGACAGAAGCAGCAGCAGACACGAGCGATCGCGCGCGTGTACACGCGTGTACGTCCCACGGAGTAGGACAAAGGGCACGCGTGGGACAGAGACGAGTGCATAAGAACGGAGAGAAGAAAACTGGAAAGGATGCGTCCGATTTGCCAGTGATCGAACGTGGGCCTGGTCGTTGTTGCGCTCGGTGCGTGGGTGAAAAGAGCAGTGCTGGAAAACCGACAGAGAAAGAGGAAGAGGAAGAAGAGGAAAACGAGGGGAGGAAGGAAGGAAAAGCGGCGCGAACGGCTGGCTGGGCGGAGGAGGCCACTTCCGGTGGGCGACAACAAGGTACAGACACTATTTCGATTTCGATTTCGAATACATTTGCTCCATTTTGCCCCCACCTCTCTCATTCTCTCTCTGTTGTCTCTTCCCTAAACCGAAATGTCGCTCAGAGCTCACTACTACCCTTGACAATCTGGATGTTTCTGTTTTCGCTCGCGTACAGCCATCGACGTAGGTCGTACTCGCTACGCGCTATTGTACTAACGTGTATAGTTACTCGCGTAGGAGAACTCGGTTAAACTTGCTCTCCGTATTTGTACCGGCATCGGAGAATCCAAATTGAGAAAACGTTTACACACGTTGGCGTGGTCGATGCGTACACAGGTTTCGGTAACGACGCGTTCGGTATGTAACAACCACGGGGGAGGCATACTCGTCGGCTAGTCGCGAAGATCGATTACGATTATAGGTGGCGCGTGGTAAGTGGACGGGTGGCGCGTAGCGCGGTAATCTTGGTCTCGATCGATCGGTTTCGTAACGCGAATTTAAACGCGATGGAGACGAATAATAATCGCCAGCGAAACGGATACCGTGTAAAACTGGACGCGCCACGACGGATAGAGGTGTGTGCGCGTGTGCGCGTGTGTGACGGTCGTCCTCTCTCCCGTTGGTAAGGAGATCCAGAAGGCACACCGAATAAAGGGACGCGAGGAAAGAAATTCAACGGAGTTTACCGGCCGTAGATACGTCGCGCGTCGTGCGTATCGAACCAGGAGGGAAGAGAGAGAGAGAGAGAGAGAGGGTGAGAGAGAGAGAAAGAGAAAGAGATAGAGCGAGATCATCGTACTGGTTCGGAAGAAGCAGGCCGGAGAAGGAGAAGGAGAAGGAGAGAAGGACAGCGGAAAAGAGAGACGGAGAAAGGGAAATCGGGAATAGAGACAGAAGCAGCAGCAGACACGAGCGATCGCGCGCGTGTACACGCGTGTACGTCCCACGGAGTAGGACAAAGGGCACGCGTGGGACAGAGACGAGTGCATAAGAACGGAGAGAAGAAAACTGGAAAGGATGCGTCCGATTTGCCAGTGATCGAACGTGGGCCTGGTCGTTGTTGCGCTCGGTGCGTGGGTGAAAAGAGCAGTGCTGGAAAACCGACAGAGAAAGAGGAAGAGGAAGAAGAGGAAAACGAGGGGAGGAAGGAAGGAAAAGCGGCGCGAACGGCTGGCTGGGCGGAGGAGGCCACTTCCGGTGGGCGACAACAAGGTACAGACACTATTTCGATTTCGATTTCGAATACATTTGCTCCATTTTGCCCCCACCTCTCTCATTCTCTCTCTGTTGTCTCTTCCCTAAACCGAAATGTCGCTCAGAGCTCACTACTACCCTTGACAATCTGGATGTTTCTGTTTTCGCTCGCGTACAGCCATCGACGTAGGTCGTACTCGCTACGCGCTATTGTACTAACGTGTATAGTTACTCGCGTAGGAGAACTCGGTTAAACTTGCTCTCCGTATTTGTACCGGCATCGGAGAATCCAAATTGAGAAAACGTTTACACACGTTGGCGTGGTCGATGCGTACACAGGTTTCGGTAACGACGCGTTCGGTATGTAACAACCACGGGGGAGGCATACTCGTCGGCTAGTCGCGAAGATCGATTACGATTATAGGTGGCGCGTGGTAAGTGGACGGGTGGCGCGTAGCGCGGTAATCTTGGTCTCGATCGATCGGTTTCGTAACGCGAATTTAAACGCGATGGAGACGAATAATAATCGCCAGCGAAACGGAAGCGTTGTCGGGGGCTGGAGTTTGAGGACGACCAGAAAGAGAGGGAGAGAGAGAGAGAGAGAGAGAGAGAGAGAGTAGGAGCAGCCGCAGCGTGGCTGTACGGTTATGGGAGACTCAAAAGTTTTCCGTTTACCGTTACTAATCCCGAGGACTGCTGCCTCCGCCGTTAGGGTCGTTTCCGACGACGAGTGACCGTAGGCAGTTTTAGTACGTGCTATTAGACCGTGCAATCTGCGTAGCCCGGAATTCCAGGCCGATAAAATCCAGAACGAAATAGCAGGTTATTTAACAGGAGAAATGATAGTTTTTAAACAAGCGTCTACTTCATTCCCGCCGATACTAAAATCTTTTATGCTCTCCTCTGGCCTGTGTCTATAGAGAGAGAGCCGGCCGAGAGAGGGAGCCACCATTTAAGGGAACCGATTTAATTAAATAATCCTTGTTATTACACGCGGCCGGGTCGGTTGCGTAATAATCGGAGCGAACCGTTTCGGGAAAACGCTGCGAAACGCTCGCGTCGTCACGGAATAGATCGAAACGCGACAATGACCGTGTAGTAGCGGCGAGAAGAATCGCGGGTTCTCCCGTATACGTACCGTGTTCGTTCGATCGGCGCTCGTTGGCGCCATTATGCTAATGAGACGTATCGTCGTCGGCCATGGCGGCTGCTGCGCCCCTTCGCCCCGAGAAACTCGCGTCCGTTGGAAATCTTTTTTATTTCCATCCGATCGACTCGACCTTATCGTTCCCGACGAATTGCGTTCCACGTTCCGGTGAAATGCACGCTCGCTCGGGTATTTGCGTATTCGCGCGCGAGTGCCCGACTCGCGCGTTTCCTTCGGCGAGGAAACAAAAAAGAGAAAAAGGGGAAAAAAGAGAGAAAAATGGGTAAAATAGAGGAGGGGCAAAAGGGGGGAAAAGGCGAAAAAAAGCGATAGCCGGGCACGTTGCGCGGAATTCGCTGTTCGCAACGACGATGTCTTCTCTATATTTATTGCGTAATGCCTGAAATTTTTGTTACGGCCCGTAGTCACGTTGGTCGTTACACGCAGCGCGCCCGTTCGAAAATCCCCGATTATATCGACGTCGTTATTCACGACGGCGCGTGACAGTTGTTACCGCTCGTTACGTCTCCGGGTGTCCCTGGTTTATTTAGAATTTCGAGGCGCGCTCGCGAACGCCGCGCGTATTTTTTTCCCTCCCCGCGCCGCTGCATCTCCGTTTCGTCGGGGGCGCGGAGGGGCCGAGAGGCGCCCCCGTGCGCAGTTTTTATTTCCGGTGCGTTAAAAGAGCGCGCGGCGAGAGAGAGAGGAGGAACGCGCTGACGCGTGCAAATTTTGCGCAACCGAGTATTATCGTCGGGCGATTATTCGTGCCGTTTTCCCGGTTACCGACGACCACGACCACGACCACGACCACGACAACGACTGGGGGACGCCGGCGATGTCGATGATAACCGTGAAGCGAACGACATGGCGGCTGTCTCTACGATACCCTCCGTGATAATCGAATTCTCGTAACGGTTAACGATGTCTATCGATTCATTATGACATTAGATGTCGCCTCTCGCGCACGAAGGGGAGAAATGCGTTTACATAGAAGCTGTCGCGTGATCGATACGAGAGCCCCGACCGACTGCCGCGTGCGCTCGCCTGCTCGCTCGCGTGCCCTAAAAACTAAGAATCCGCTTCCACTCGGCCACGATATACGTCCCTCGTACACCGACTCGTGGGGAGAAATAATTTTGTTTGCCGGTTTCTTAGGAGACACCGCGGTAATTATACTTTTCCAGGTGGGGGGATGACCACGATCGTCGTTCCCGTTTATCGCCATTAATCCCCTCGTACGTTCCGCGAAATGGCTATCAGCAGTTACAACGAATGTCTCGCGTGACGAATTATTTCGGGAAAATTGACGAGGAATTATTTTTTCTTTGTCGTCGATTATTTTCCACGACGCGAAGAAATATCGAGACGCGTCTCAGAAAATACCGGTGCACGCGGGTTCGCGCGAAAGCGAGACCGTGTAAACACGGGACGAGGGGGATTTTTGCATAAAATTGAAAGCGCGTTAACACGGTCGTTGGGGGGTTGGAACCTATAATCGCGACCGATTACGCGACTGCTCGTAGCGGATGGAAAAATGGAGGACGAGGAGACGCGGAGAAACGCCGATTACGCGATTACGCGATTACCGTGTATGATTAACGATATTTTGAAATTAACGATGCAGTCGTGTCCCGATGGTGGCATCGCTCCCACCGTTTCTCGCAACTGCGCGTTTCCTCGCCACTTTGCTTCGTTACGCGAAACTAAATAACGCGATGCTCCAAGGATCGCGCGTATTGCGCCAGCGTGTGCCGGGTGTCAAATGTCGGCGTTCTTTCCGTCTTGCTCGAGCTTGTCGTCTCTTGCTGTCGGTAAACAGCGACTCCGCGATTTTTAGTACACCTACATACCACTGAGGTATATGCATAGCTCGGTACATACCTCTCCCCCGTTAATAGACGCCACGCGGTTCTCGTGTACGTCTACCTCGGGTTACCCTATGCAACGCGTGTTATTACACGACTGCGCGAGTTTTAAGAGCAAATTGATTTTCTCGAATCGGTACGCATTGGAGCAGTGACGAGCATCGATTGTTCCGCTCCGTGCCAAAATTCGAAAGGACCTCGACGAGGGGGCCGCAGCGTAAACACGATATCGCGTACTCGGATGTATCTATAGAAGAAAAATTGGACTCGTTTATGGAACAGGTGGTACCTGTTATTTTTAACGAAATTCCAAGGAAAGAGTCTTTCATTGATATTTCTGACACGCGTAGTAAAGCGGGTGAAACGAGGGGGGAACCACGTTTCGTAGAGATCGGGAGTTGCCGATGGTACGACTAGCGGAAGATGGTCGAAAATATTTCGGGCATTCCCATTTTTATTTCGGACCGCGCAACTTTAACTCGCTCCCTTCCTCTCGCTGCCCGCGGAATCGAATGTAAAGAAATGATGGGAAATGCGCCGTTTGGAGCGATAGCACGCGATTGCAGCCACCGTGGATCCATGGTCGATGACTATTTGCGCGTTTCAACGTTGACCTTGCCGCTCCGCGTGCTCGCAGAGGTTCAAGATATCGCTGACGGATATTATATGGTACAATGGAACAATAGGGCGACGACTGTGAGATCGCGTTCGCGCGTACAAAAGCCATAATAAACGAGGATGTATTAGCAACGCGATTCGAGTTAAAGTCACGCCGAAACGTACACATCCGCGAGTCTGCTGAAACGCGGCGTCGCGACGGCGAGAGGGGAGAGAACGCGCGTGGTTGATCGGACGAGAGAGAGAGAGAGAGGGAGAGTGAGGAAGAGATAAGAGGGCGAAGAGGAGAACCGATAGAGGGAGTAATAGGAACAATGGAATCCAGAATTATTAATACCCGGTTGAATTAATCGCTTTAAAAGTACGACCGTCGACGTCCTTACGCCGAGCGTAATCTATTTTGATTAAGATTAATTAATCAATTATCCGGCGAATTACCGAGTCTCGGAGTCGCCGCGACCACTCGAATCGTTTTCGCGTTTCGTAGCCAGGAGTAGAGATCTCGATCGTTTTCCCGCCCCTCCGTTCGCCCACCCACCCTCTCGTCCAACGCGACGATAATAGTCACGAACCGCGATTACGTCGCGTATCTCGGAACACCGCTTTCGCGACGAGGCGAAGCGTAGCGCGAGGGTGAAGATCGATCGGTGAAAAGAAGCGGGACGGACTCGAGCTGCGTGGATTCGCGTCGCGTCGCGTCTTATTCGTCGTTTCTCGTAAATAACTCGCGAAACGTTCGATTCGTGGGGCGTTTATCGTCGTTACGACGATAACTATCGCGCGCGCGGCTGACGTATCGTCGAAGCGGACGTTTGTTTCGGCAACGAACGCACGACAAGTTCTCGTGGATCTCGATAAAGCGCGAAACGTGCAAACAGGAAGTAAAAGTGCAATTAGCGCGTGTAATTAACGCGCATACCGGCTCGTGTGCGTTTCCAGCCGTCGAACGAAATATCTCGGCTGTGCGTGGCGTTGACGGCGCGCGCGTACTCGCGCACTCGCGTAAGCGAGCACAGGCCGAGCCGAGTGTGCCCGCGTGTCTTATCGATGCAACGATTAAACGACCGGCGACCGAATCTTTGCTTATCGAGGCATAGGCATTCCCAGCGCATTAGACGCTTCGTTCCCTCCGATCTCGACGCTATCAACACAATAGAACAAAGTATTCGCGCCACCGGCAGCGGCGTAGAGATGATCATAGCCGCGGCACGCTTATCTAATTATCATATAATCACCGTGCCGGTCACGCGATCGAAAGAAACGATTTAATTCTCGCGCCGCGTGTAATTATCGGCGCGGCGCGAAAACTGGAGCGAATTAATTTCGCCGAGAGACAAAGAATCCGATAAGACGCGGGGCTCCTCTCCGTTCCTTCCTCAAAAGCG